AAGGTGCACCTGCTCTTTACATGGGAGCAGTGCAGAACTTTGTTTTTATTCTTATGGAGATGTCCCAAAGCAGAGGAAGAAAGGAGGCCATTGAGTGTTAAATATTTCACACTGCATCTTGCTGCTTCTGTAATGGGCATGTTTCACCCTTCTGCTTGCTGCAGTTTGTAGGGTTCCAGTTAGAATAGGGGCATGGGGCACAGGGTATCTCTGGTATGGGGAACAAGTGCAGCAGTTGTGGCTACTGCTGTCCTCTGGAGTTTTTGAGGCAGAGGTGCCAAGAGCCTGTATGACTGTTTGTCATTCTTTCCCAGATTTGAGGATGGAGCTGTGCAGTCACTTCATTGGGTTCCACAGCTGGTGCTGCAGGCCTTGTGCCTCCAACCAGGACTTTCTTCTTAATGCTCTCGACACTTAGCTAAACACGACTGCATCCCAGCCCAGCAGGTCCCAGCTCGCTAGTCTCCAACTAACTCTGGGTTGGTTTTAAAGCAAATCCTGTTTTGTGGACTGCCTGGCAATTTTTTTAGCTAACTGTAATGATAAAAAGGGAGTATTGCTCTATTCTGAATCATATCTAGTTGAATGCATGTTTATAAAAACAAACAAAAAGCTTGCTCAATCTACCTGCAGTGGCTGATGCAAAACCATCACATGCAGAATCCAAAGGACTGGACTGTGTTCTTCAGCCTGTGCCACTCATGCACTGTTGTCATGTATGCTGAGTCTCCAAGTTACACGTGTGCAAGTGAATGTCCTCAAGAAGCACCTAGAGTACTGCAGGGGATTCTTGGGGTGGTGAGGGTTGCCAGGTAGGGACACAGACTTGTAGTTTTCAGCAACCTGTGTTTTTGGCACTGACGAACCTGGAGGGAGCTGCAGGGACTGGGAGAGAGTGAGTCTGTGGTGGCTCCAGAGCAGCAGCAGGTATAGTAGGGTCCTCTCCTTCATTTCAGCTCAAGTGTGGTCTGAGAAGCAGGGATATACTGAAGCCCACCAGGAAATACGAGAGCTGGAGCCAGTAGAGCTGGGATGAAGAGTGGTCTGTGTGTCAGGAGAGCAGTGTCTCTGCCATCTGAATTTCCATTGTGCATCTTACAGGATATGTTCTGTGTATGTGTTGGGACTGTTGGGAAAGTCCAGTGTAGAACTAAACTGTCTTCCTAGGAAGGAGGATGTCAAAGAGGAGCGGCCACACTGAGGTGGTATTGTCTTTTGCTTTATTTCGCTTAGGGAATCGTCCCTTTCTTTCCCCCTGAGAAATAATTGAGTCCGCTAAAAACACACAAGCACAGCTGTATTCACCCACAAAGAAGGGCAGAGATGTCAGTTGTGTGCTGTGGGGAGTGGTGTATATTTAAGACTGGTTCAAAGGGAATAAGTGTATTTTAAGTTAGTTCCCATGTTTCTTGTAGAGAAGCAGGGCTGAGATTATGTCTAAAAATGTAGAAGTAATGTAGCTTGTCCCGGGGTCATTTACCTGATGATGACCTGTCCTTTGTGTCTAGCTGGGGTGAGGCCTTGAAAGTCTGTATAAATGTCCTGTGAGCCCATTTTGCCACCTTTTTCTGACAGCACTCAGAACCAAGCAGATGTGGAGAGTGGAAAGGGCCAGACAGTTTTGGACTATACTTGCCTGTCCAGATGTGTTGTGGGAAAGATTTTGAGTGTGTAATCTGAGTATGTACATAAGATATCAAGAAGGTTCTTTTTGCCTGTATATGCCCAGCTTGAATCTGTGAGAGTGTTTCTGTTTAGTGTGGGTCAGAAGGGCAGGACTTTTCTGGGGGCCGTCAAGTGGGGATGTGTTTTGTTTTGTTCCCCCGTTGAAGTGCTTGGGCTTTGGTTGGAAGGGGTGCTTGTCTCTGGCAGCAAGGTCAGGGCTTCCAAGTTGGTGTGGAGGTCGCCTCATTAGCAATCAGCTTGACTGGAGGGTGGGTCATCCGAACATTGAGCCTTTGGAAACCTTATTTTTATAGTCATGCTCTTCATAATTTGTTTCTAGCATTTTATTTTATAAGAAGCTGTGGAAAATTTCTGCATGGATCAGTGTAAACACAAGAGTTCTCATTCCTAATATCCATGAACATAGAATGTTTATGGATGAATATGTTTAATTGCCTCATGAGCACTTAACCGTGTGTGTGTGGGGTGAGTGTGAGTGTGTGTGCGCGCGCATGTGTGTGTAGAGTAAGAATGCACACAGTGCACAGAGATAGAAACATTTGCTGTAGGCACATAGCTTGTATCTGTACTTCATGTTGGGATTCCCATCTGTGCAGTGGATGGTTTGCAGTGTTGCTGGTTCCAAGGTTTCCCCTGGACCCAACAGAGAGAGGGTGGTTTTCCCAAGTGAATGATCATAAATAGTGGAACAAATGTACCCGTGATTTTCGCATGTGTTTTAAAAGGCTCCCTCACCCATCCCAACTAAACATACCTGTCTCTCTGCCTGTGAAGGATAGGGTTGTTTGCCTACAGCAGGAAGTTAGCAAGTCCTTGGGTCTGCTCGCAGCTGCACACAGTGTGTGTTCCATAGGCCCCGTGTTCTCAGGAGAAAGAATAGTGGGATGCCATCCCCTCCTGCTGATCCCTCAGCTTCACACACTTGCCCTGTAACTGGTAACAGACCATTCTTTTTCTTTCAAATTGAATTGAATGGCTATCAGACACTTGTGTATTATCCAGCTCATCTGTGTGGAAGCCTTTTCTGTTGTGAAACCATCAGGCCATCACCTGTGGAATCTGCTGGGGACAGATCTCACTGTCAGGTGAAAATCTGGGCATATGGATAGTAACAGACTGTCACAGGTGGTGTTCAACAGCAGTCAGTCTAAAATTTAGGACTAGAACTCGGGCCAGTATTCTATTACACAGCTGCATAGGTATCCCCAAAACATTGAGGAACATTCCAAGAAAGTGTGCTTTTTATGTGTGTGACATTCCCAACTAGAGTCCTTCAGCTGAATTCTTTTAGAAAGTAAGGCAGGCAGGCAAAGGGCCTGATTCTATGAACATGGACATCATTGCTCGGGTTTTGTGTTTTTTTTTTTTATTTTTTTTAAATTTTTAAAGTTTATTTTCTGCTGCCTTCCTCTGCTGCTGCTATTTGTAGTTTAAAGCTCAGTAGTGCTGTTGGGTTTTTAAAGAACCTGCGAGCTCCCTGAGAAGTAAGGCCACCATCAGGATTAGGCTAGTGAGGTTACAGGCATGGAAGGCGTGCTCTTCCAGAACTTTTGTCTCCTGTCTTGTGGTCTTCCTTGGAAGAACCATTGCGCAGCCGTTGAGTGTTTTGCAGAGGTGGTGTTTCTAACAGGAGGGGTAATGGATGTTTCTTTGGGGATATGCTAGAGTGAGGGGAATCTCATTGGGGACCTTTGAGCTCACCAGCTTCCGACTTGGGCCTTTGTGAGTAAGTGTGCCTGTGGTTGAGAGAGGCTGGCAGGCATAAACCTTAAACACTGGCGCCGCTTCAGATTTCCTCAGCTCTCCTTTCTGAATATTGGAGTACAGTATTACTGTGGGACCACCTCTCATTCGGCAGCTGACATCTGTAGTTGTGTACCTGGCACTGCTGGATGGCACAGGACCTCCTAGGGTGCAGTGGCAGTTACAGCTGCTGGTCCTTTTCTCTGGTGCTTTCTGAAGGTTGCTGGAGGGCAGGAGGGCAGCTGGCTGAACAGTGGAGTGTGGAGCTTACTCATGTCTAGCGCACCTCCCGGGTTTGCATAGTTCTTGAATTACTTCTCCTGCCCAGTCTTCAACATTTGATGGACTGATTCCCAGAAAGGATAATATGGTTTCGTAGGAATAGTTAAAATTATTCCCCATATCTTATAGGATTCCTTTCCCCTTAACCCCTCTTCATTTAAGAACAGAAAACCTGTGGAATAAATCTTACTAGAATTATGGGATGGGAGGCAGCAGCTTTTTGGTCTAGGAACTGCCGTAGTTGTACATGAGATGCGAGGACCTGATTGGCATAGCAGGCAGCTCCCAGGGAAGGGCTGTGGGTGGGTCTGGTGCAGACTGTGGGCAGTATAATAGACCAGTTAGGTCACACTGGGGACTGGCTCCCAGAAGGGTTATTGTGGCAGCTGGAGGCCCCAAGGAGCCTGATAGGCTGTGACTGAAAGAAAAGGTTCTTCTTTTTTTAAACTTTTATTTTTAAATAATCTTTTTTACACTGTTTTCTTGGTACTTTTTTTATGCTTAAGTCAGCATTGTCTTCCAGTGTTAAAGGCATCCCTTGCCTCTTCATTGAACTTATGTGTCAATACAATAGGAATGGACAGACTGTCCATCCCGAGCCAGTTCAACTAAATGTAAATTCATACTGTTTTAATTTTTTATGCAATCTGTTGAGTAGATGAGCTCAGATTTAAAATCCTTAAAAGCACGTTTATTGTAACAGGAATTGTTATGTATTAATACTGCAGTTTTCAATAAAGATTGACTTGTGTTGCATATTCTCTTTTCTTTTTTCTTGTGAGTTTTGTCAGAGGTGATGTCCTGACTGGCATATGCTGCTACTTCTCCCAGGCAGGAGATTGCCAGCGGGTTGGGGTAAGGCTGTGTGTTCAGTGGAGGGGTTCATCCTGGGTAATGTAGGAGGTGGAGGCTTGTGTAGCTCTCTACGTAAACTCCTGTGTCCTTCAGTTCAGTGAGGAGGATGCTGGGACTCAGAAATACCACCACACCCATCCCCTTAGCTCACATATGCCAATGACCTGGATCCTCCAGGGGCTAGGAGGGAGTCTGGGTACCCACTGCCGTAGGTGGCTCTTTCACTTGCTTTCCTCCTTCTCCCTTTGGGTGTCTACAGTAGCTTAGCCCACTTCTGCCAGGAGCCCTCTGGCTGTGGCCTCATGAGCAACACTTCCCTAGGCTGAGAACAGAGTAGCTGAGGGCAGAGAAGGGTACCAGCCCCAGGAAGAATGGGCCAGCACACGGAAGAGGAAATTCACACGTACATCAACAATTGATCAGCAGCCAGGTTACTTTTCTTAAGTTTCTTTATGAAATTAAATGTGGTTTCTGGATTAGAGAAGGTACAGTGCAAGAGTAACTGACCATGCTTCTGAATCCTATGGGCTCTGCACGATATTCAGGCCTGGCTGTGTGCCCCAAGAGTCAGTCCATGCTAGGCCACAGAATTCAGTCCTTATGGCTTCTCACACTCACTAGGTAAGGCAATCTTTCTGTGTTATTAACAGTTCTCCATTGTTAGAGAAACAACACGACAGAATCATAATGAAAAGGGACTGGGTTTGTGTACAGCCACCCCAGCTACAGGGAACTGCCACTAACCTGGAACCAAGTACTCGGCTGACTATGGTTTTCTTCTCATTGCACATGTCACAAAGAGGGTGTCTGGCAGCCAGCAGTGTCTAGAGGAGCCAGGAAGCATAAGGACAGCTATGGATAGAGTTAGGAGTGCAGAATTCCAGGTTCCTGACCTCCGAAGTTGCAAGTGGGCTGGGGGCCTGAAGAACAAATGGAGAGCAGAGGGGCACACACCTGCTTTTGCAGTGACTCATGGCCACAGACTTTGGTCTCCTGCCCAAAGGAAACAGGAGTGGAGATAAGCTTTCCACAGAACGTCCAGAGCAGATGAGCCCGATTTGCACAGCCTGGCCAGTGGTGGTTCTGAGCTGTGGCTTGCAGGCTCACCATGGTGGAGGCCCTGCGCAGGTCCAGAGTATAGGCAGAGGCTGGTACCCGTGCAACACTGCACTAGCAGTGGGGAAGAGGCCAGAGGCGGGACCCAGACTTAATACAGCTCTGGTGCTTTACCCGTTCACTTCCACTACCAGGCAGAGGGCGTGATGGAGTAGGCCTCGAGGGAAGGCTGGCTCCACCAAGTGCTGTCAGATTGTCCGATAGGTGCTGGCTCACTTCCGGAAAGGTGCCAGTCTGCTGAGGCTGTGCCAGAAGTGAGATGGCTTCCGCCTGGGCTCTGCTAGCACCAACACCTGCTGCTGGGGCCGGCTGGCAGGCAAGGATGGATGCTTGTGGCGGGTCAGGTAGCCTGGCCTACCGATAGCTGGGCAGGGAGAGACAGCAGGGGTCACAAGGTGGAAGGCAGAGGGTTTCATCTGTGGGTTCTGTTGCAGACACTTCGTGGGGATAGTTTGCCACACAGGATCTGCTTTCCAGGGGCTTAACCACAATACACAGGACCCCAGGGTATCAAGAGCTTTTGGCCTGAGGCTGGCCAGGGCCATTGTCCAAGGCATGGGATGCCTGCCTTCATCTACAGAGAGGGAGAGGTGGCTCCCTCCCAGGCAGCTGTGATGTGGCTTTTAGCAGCCTGGGAAAGTGAGCACTGTAGCCCCTGGTACCACTAGGAGATCAGAGGTGTCAAGCGAAAACTGTACTGACCTCTCTTGTCATCTGCGGCCCTTATCACCTTTGGAAACATACACCCGTAAAGACAGTGGACATCTCCAAAGACCCAGATGGCTAGCTGGCTTTGCTTTTGAGGTCAGATAGAAACGTGATCAATGCTGGAACTGCCCGAGGAGTAGGATGGTTCCCCATTTACCTTTAGGCTTCCCTGTGGCCTGCTGCTTGCTGGCGTTCAGCATGGCCTGCTTCCTCTGCATCTCAGTGATGGAGAAACCTGGAGGAAGGGCACACATGAGATCCCGCCTTGCCTTCTTCAACTGCCCATGAGCCTCCTTGGAGGGCTTTCTGGTCCAGGTAATATCTGTCCTCCTGGTGCCCCATGCCTATCATACTTTACAGGCTGGCACGGCAGGGGACTGCTCCCTCACCTGCTCAACCACCCTTTCTTGCCAACCAAGGGAGAGAGCAAAGATCCCTTGAGCCACCACTTCATTCCCTCCCTTGACCCTATGACCCCTTCCCATTTCTCTCCTCCAGCTTTCTCTATGCTGCTGTGGAGGCTCTTTCCCAAACCACAGCATGAAGCTGGGGATCTAGGCATAGGAAAGGATGGGAAAGGACTCTAGTACCCACCCCATGCTCTCCCAGGGCTTGAGTTGGTTGGAAGGGGACTCCCCCTGGTCTCAAAAGATGGGCACATTCAGTGAGGCCGACCACAGAGGAAGGGCCCTTTCTGCCAGAGGGGTGAGCACAGCAGAGCCTGTGCCGAGAGGTTTCTGCAGCCTCACCTAGCCCTAGGCACGATCTCATTCTCAAGATGGCGCTGAGCACCTGGTAGGTGGGCCCCAGAAACTAGGCAAGGCCCAGCAGGGTCTCCCACCTGTCTCCTGGTCCAGCTGCACCTGCTCCCTCTCCCTGGCAAAGGCCTTCAACCAGCGCTGCTTCTGTTCTGGCTTCCTGGCACACAGTAAGTGGCTGTCGCCCGTGGCACCACAGTACAGACGGAAGGCATTCTTGACGCTCACATGGAGGTCACGGTCCTTCCCGTCTTCCACATCCACCACTTCCAGGTCATCCATGTCCAGCCGGCCCTTGTAGTACAACACGTCCCGGCGGAGCAGGTCCTGCCAGATGCTACCCTGAGCCCTGGCTGCCCAGCAGCCTGTCTGACCACCTGGTCATGCCCACTCCCACCCCCAGCCGCTGATGGACAGACAGGACAGTCTTTGTCTTTGAGGTGCACATTGACAGGTGGGCAGAAAGCCCCAGAAACTAAAGCAGCAGCCCACATGGTATGGGAGAGCAGAGAGAACAAGGAAGGCTTCGTGCATGGGGCCATTGTGCCGTGGTTGAAAGAAGCAGAAGCTAGCAGTAAAGAGGCCAGAGGCTGCGGGAATCAGAGAACTCAGGAGACGGAAGCAAAGGCTTGCAGGGAGAGGTCTGAGGAGCAGGCAGGGACCAGGTCAGGAAGGAGGGTGTTCTGAACAGCAAGCACACTGTTCCAACAGCTACCCCAGTCCAGTGTCCCTGGGCACGCTCTATAGAGAGTCAGTCCTAAAGGCCTGGAGACAGGAAATGGCCAGGGTAGAGTCGGCCAGGCCCTTTACTTCTAGACAGGAGCCCCAGCCCTTACTGCTCTCCTATATGAAACTGGTCCAGCAAGGCAGGGGGGTTCGGATACCTTTTTACAGTAGATGAGCTGACGGTCAAAGAGAAAAAACATTCTCTGCTGACTCTTGGCTTGAGGCTGTGTTACACGGGTCAGCTCCCCCGAGTAGATGAGTTCTGAGCTCCTGACCAGGAGATCTTCCCCCTGAGTGAACCCCAAGGAGAGCCATGACGTAAGTGTACCCAACCTTAGACTCTACTCCCTGCCTCTCTTGTTGGTGAGCCTTCCCACTGTAGCCTGAATTGTGCCAGGCCAACAAAAGGGGATAACAGACACCCTTAAAGCCCAAAGCAGTTCTTGGGGCCTTGAGGATGTGGCTGTGGGAGGTGAATGAAGGCAGACCTGACCATCCTGTGGAGTAGGACTTCAGTGTAGCCTGTGGGCCTTCTGAGAACTTGATGTGCCACTGTAAGGTGCACAGTGATTTCAAAGGGTAGGAAACTGGAAAATACATTTGGATGTACTGAGTTAAATAAAATGTCAAAGCCCAGTTCAGTCATTTTCATTTTGTATGTATGTGTTCCACATGTGCATTTATGTATGAGTGTGGGGGCCAGAGGTCAACACCAGGTGTCTTCATCACTTTCCATCCTTTTGTTAAACTTTTATTAAGTATATTTATTGTGGGAGAGGAGGGGTGGATGCCCATGTGCCACAGTGTGTGGCGGTCAGAGGACACCTTGCAGGAGCCTCTCTTTCCACCACAGGGGTCTTGGAGACTTAAGTCAGCTTTGGCAGCAGGCACCTTTACCTGCTCAGTCATCTCACTGACTCCGGCTGGCTGGCCAGAAAGCTTCAGGGATCCTGTCTCTAACCATCTGGGACTGGGATACACCCGTCACCATGCCTGGCTTTTTATGCGGGTGCTGGGAATCGGAATTCCCATGTGCATGTGCCCTGCGCAGCAGGGGCCTCACCGTCTGAGCCATCGCCCCCACCCCACTGTGTTCTTACTTTTGGCAAATGGCTACTAGAAAGTACAGAATCCTAGACATGGCTCATGTTTTCTTTTGAATGGACAGTGCTGCTTTAGAGAAAAAATAGGTTTGGCAGGAACTTGCCCCTGCAGGTGAATGTATTTAGGACCCGAAACTGGCAGTCTGGTGCTGTTGGCAGCTGTCCATTTGGGGATGACTGTGCTCTCCAGTCCTTGTCCAAGCATGGGCTCAAAACCAGTCTACTGCATTGTCCTGCTCCCCTACCCAAGGCTTAGGAGTCAGTGTAAGGGCAGGGCCTATGCCTCTACTTCTCTGTAGCTCATTCGGGCATGCTTCCACTTACTTTCCTATCCTTACAGCTGGCATGGCATACCATGGCTCCAGATGGGTACAGACTAGAGGTGGCTAGTTGCCGGGTGCAGAGGAGCAGAGTCCTCCTGCCCCCACACCTCTAGGGAGCAGGCATGATAGTCGTCAGTTTACAGAAGGCAAGACTAGCAGATCCATGGGAATGCTCAGCTCAGAAAAGCTGACAAAGCCTTGACATGGGAGGATCCATTTCTGGTCCCACTATTGGCTCTAATCTCAACTCTTGACAATTCCAGAAGGTATCTAAAACTTAGCAGTCCAGCCTGTCTCTTAGGGCAGAGAAACAGACCAAGATGTCTTAAGAAACACAGTTCCTTGGGATAGGGCTGCCCTTGGGCTGGTGGTGGCTGGAAGGTGTGTGGTGGTGTACACAGGAAGGAGACCATTACGTGCCAAGGTAAGGCACCACCAAGGAAAGGCCCAGTGCAAGAGAGAACCTGTCTTCCAGTAGGTCCTGGGAGCTCAGTGGATCCCTGCTTCTGCTCCCCTCTGGACAAGAACAGTTTTCAAGCAAGGACCCCACAGTATTTTCTGGGCACTAGGGCCCTCACCTCCCAGTCCTCTATGGAGCTCTGCCACTGAGCAATCTTGTCGATGTTTTCAAGTCTCCGTTTCCGTTCATTGATGAGCTGGGCCACGTTCTTCATAGCATGCAAGGCAGCCTCAACGTTCTTAAAGTCCCTGGGGCAGAAGAGACAGAAATGTGCAGCGAACTGGGGAGCAGAAAGAGCTGTAGAGTCCCCAGAGGCCCTTCCATGTAATGTTGTCACCTCTGGGCTGTATATCATGGCCACAGCCATCAGGTACATAGCCTCTCCCCTCCATAACTGGTAGGTAGAACAGCTTAATAGTCTATTGACGAATATCCTCCCCTACTCCAGTAGATCTCAGGGTGGTGGGCTTGCTTTACCTAAGCTATTTCCCAGTGCCCAAAGCGGTACCCACCATTCTGCAACTGGTACCCACACTATAAATATTCGATTGGCTGGCTGATGGCATGCAGAGTCTCAGGCAGCTCCCCTCACCACCTCGTGCCCTCTACCTGTGCTGGGGGTGTGTGTACTTGAGCAGCTCTGCCAACTGGAGGGGATACTTGCAGATCTTCTGCACAGGGGTCAGTAGAAAGCCATCCAGGGAGATGTCAATCATTCTTTGCAGCAGCCGGCAGGCCTCGAAGAAGTACACGTACTTGCTGAGCTTGGTGAGCCGGGAGAGCTCCACACAGGCGTTGGGGTGGTTGTTGCAGTACTCAGAATAGATCTGGAAGTCTGCTTGCTGGGGGCACAGCTGAAGGTCAGGGTGGCTGTCTCCTGTTTGCCCAGGCAACAGGCCACAGCCATGAGGTGAGAGGGACAGGAATCTCTGCATTTGTTTTAGGAACTGGTTCTACCGACTTGGCTGGGTACAAGCTATGTGCTGTCATCCCAGGGATGGGAAAAACCTGTGCTACCATGCCCATCCTCGGAGCCACTCAGCTTTCCCAGCAGGGCTTCCAGGAGGAATTCTGATTATGCATTTGTTATTTATCTTTTAATGAAATCAAATCAGGAAGGGTTATCAAGGCTAAGCAGGTAAGACCTTGAAAGGTAGAGAGAATCCCTTAGCTGCTTCAGCAAAGGACAAGACAGCTTCTGCCCAGTAAGGCTAGCAGCTTCTATCTGTGAACCTGGTTGTGGGAAATTCTGGGAAGACATAAAGCAAGGGAGCCATGCAGAAAGACAACAGGATTGGGGGGTAGGAGGGGCAGGTACTGCTGCTCTAGGGCGCAGGGATCATAGCAGAATGTGTCCAGACGCACTCACGTGTTCCAGAAAGCAGGCACCCAGCTCGCTCAGGTGTGGCCGCTCTGTGTTGAACTTCTGCTCCAGAGCCTTCACGAAGGCCTTCTGGCAGCGGTAGATGTCCTCAATGTTCCCAAAGATGGTGCGCAGTTGCTCTTCACTGAACATGTCCTCCCGTTTTCGGCACTGGCGGACATAGCCCTGGGGAATGGGGTGGGCCCACGCTCGCTCTCTAGGGACCCACCTGCCTACCCTTCCACGTGCCACGTCCCCGCACCAGTCCACTTCACCACCTGGCCCCACCCATCCTGTTCTACTCATAGCTTAGGGTCACACATTTCATAATCCTCACCTCGCCAAGCAAGCCCTGCCTGCCTTCCTCACCTCGCAGATGTCTCGAAGGTGCTTGATATAGTCCCGCTCAGTGCTGAGGATCTCATTGATGACGTTGGTGCGCATCTGGTCCTTGCAGCTCTGGGCCTCTGGGACGTTGTCGTCGCCCTCTCCAGCCCCGGCCCGCGGGGCCTCATAGTCATCCGCGGGCTCATCCTGATTCACCCGCAGCTAGACAATACAAAACAGACGAGTGCCTGCCATCCTCCTCATCACTCCCTGAACTCTGCTCCAGGGCATCGGGAGCAGAGGTCAGCAGCTCCCACGGACGGGATACACAGGTCATACCTGCCATTTCCTTGCAACTACCTCCTATGCACAAGGAAGGCCAGGGCGGGGGATGGTGGGGTTTGATGACCACAGCTGATGTCAAATTCACCCCTCTAGGAGGGCTGTGTTCTCAGCAGTGATTAGAGCAAGCACTAGGAATTTCTGAACCAGACCTCTCACCAGGTGCCAGGTGGTTAGCTATTAAGTTTAGGAAAGGGTGGGGGGGGGGGGGCGTCTGCAAAGGAGAGGTTCTTGAGTACCTGGGAATCCCCTCCCTTTGGGAGTCTACTTCAAAATGTCCTTCTTTGGTGACCAGATGCAGCCTAAGGTTGGAACTGGGTCACCTGCTCTCCTGGGTATGACTTCACTGTCTATGCCTCCTGAGATTTCTACCTCTCAGGGCTGTCTGTATGTTACATGTTCCCCACACACCTCAATGAAAACATAGTTGTGGGTAGAAGGCATGGTTTGCTTGAAGCAGTGGTATGCTAAAGCATCATAGTGTTACATTTCTGACCTGTGCTTCTCTCTAGCCCGGGAGGCCGTGAGCAAGAGCCTGGGAGAGCGCGCGCGCTTGTGCGTGCGTGCTTGTGCGTGCGTGCGTGCGTGCGTGCGTGTGTGTGTGTGTGTGTGTGTGTGTGTGATTGAGCAGAATGTCTGTCACAGTTCTGACCCCCACCCATCCAGTCTGAGGTACCAAGTAACAGCAAAACAGAGTCCATGCTCCATGCCTCCTGGAACTGAGGTACTAAAACTGAGAGGGGGTGGCCCATGCTACATGTCTGGAACTGCAGAGCTGTTTGGGGCTTGGACTTCTGAGCAGAACCAGGAGTCTTCAGAAGTTTGGGGAAAGCACAGACTGGAGCCATACCCGTACAAAGCTGGCAGGGAACCACCCCTCGCCATCTGCGACGCGGCCCCACCACCATTCTCTGTTGGTGGCATCCATCACTTCGATGACATCGCCGGCTTTGAAGCCCAGTTCCTGGTCGTCCATGGTAACATGGTCCCACAGGGCTTCGGCACATACCACACTGCCATCACTAATGAGCTGGGGAGAGAGCCAAGGCAGCGGCGTGAGGCAAGGCTACCCTAACCTGCTCTTACCCAGCAGCCCTGGAAGCAGGGATCCTGGCCTGCTGTTCCGAGAAACTAATGAAGTCCGTCCATTGTCTCCGCCCCCGCAGGGGGGGGGGGTGCAGGGCTGTGTCTTGGGCACGTCAGTGAGGGAGCCAGAAGTGAATTCATTCACACCTTCAGCTACTGAGTCTGTGACTTCCGCTTCAGTGCCCTACACTGAGATGCTGGACTGGATGTGCACTGCGACGTGGCAACTGGCAGCTGCTACCCCTGCTCCTAGGTAGCCATTTAAGAGGGAACTTGCTCCCTCTGCAGGTTTTTGCCTGTGAGGTCACCCAATTAATAGTACTGTTTTTCCAATGACAGTGCCCATGACAGCAGCTGGGGCATTTTCGTTGTGTTTCATTAAAAAAAAAAAAAAAAAAAAAAAACCACACACACACACACACAAAAAAAAAACTTGCAGAAGTAGTCACATGACACCACTGCTCCTTATAGCCCTGGCACTCACACACGCACTGGGATCTTTCTGCCCAATGACTGTCTGATAAGGCTCCTCTCTACTGTGTGGCCTGCCCCCGGCCCCTCCCAGGTGGTCCTGATGGTTGGACCTCGGTCCCTCATTCTGATTCGAAGGCTGTCTTCTGCTTTATGAATAGATGGCTGAGGGCAGGATACAGTGGGGTAGGGGATGCATATGGCCTCCTCCTTGGCTAGCCAACAGAGACATAGACGGTCACCTCCAAGCAGGTCCCCTCACAACCCAGTCCTGCTTCTTCTAAGCTGCTTTATACCCTGTGCGCTCTCCCTTGGCCTCCCTGGGGACTTCCTGTTTGAATCCTCGCATCAGCCCAGGAAAGTGGATCTCTTCCCAGGAAGATAAGTGGCACCTCTGCCCCAAGTGTCAGGCATTGCCCTAGAGCTCTCTGTGCCCAAAGCCACACGGATCCTAGCAGGGCTCTGGGTTCCTGGGGACAGCAGCCCTCCAACCTCTGGGCTCGCTGTCTCTGTAACAGTGACTTTTGGTAGATAAGTCTGGCTGACACACAGCTGGTATAAGACAGGAGGACTCAGCAGGGCCACAGTAGGATCCAGTCTGCTGCGGGCCAGGAGCCAGCAGTCTTCCTGCATCGGGCTGTCATGTGAAGCCTTGAAGATACAGCAGAAAGAGGTGGAAGCCAGTGAGAGAGAACGGGGAATGTGCCTGACCTGGGGTCTGTAATTCTGGCCACAGATTTGGGGAAATAACCCAGGTACTCAACGTCCAACTTCCTGCTTTGTATGAACTGGGTGAGGGATCTCCCTCTGTCCCTGGATTCCCTCAAATAAGCAGAGGGAGGGAGGGAGGGAGGCGGGCAGGCAGGCAGCCCTCTCCTTATTTTGTGGTCTGGGTAGACCTTGTGGATCCTACCCTGCTGCTGGGACAGCTACTGAGGGTGTGGAACAAAGGCAGGGCTTTTCAGAGACGAGGGTCCTGGGTTATGTTACTGACAAGTCCCACAAAGCCCAGTCACGTGGAAGCCTGTAGAGTGGGAAGGAGGCACTGGTCATCAATGTCACTTCCAGACACAGAAAGCATCCAGTAGACACACTGCCGTGTCTCTGAGCATATCCTCCGAACTCGCTGCGTCCCCCATCAGCACAGCAGTAAACAGTCTTTCTGCATGATGGGTATCACAAAGGGAAGGCTAACATGCTCCAGCTCTGAAACCAGCCATGTCCATGTCACTGCCAATGCAAAATGTGGCTCCAAGAGGCGAGAAACACATTTTACAGAGTTATCAGAGCGAACCCCAGCTTCAGCTCGGTTCATTTCTCTGCAAAGCCCCTCTTGGCCCCATCAAGTGCACCTGCTCCTAAATCCGGCTCTCCAGCTGCCTCCGAGAATAGGAATCCAGCTGGCTTCTGCCTGGCAGGAGGAGACAGAGGCTGGCTGGCTGCCTCTGAGGTGGAGGGGCATCTGGGGGCAGGTGGGGCTTGTGCCAATACCCAGGTAAGATAAAGATTAAGATAAGCCAGGGGGCAGGGGCAGACTTCCTTCCTGTGCCTCTGGTTCTGCCTGGCTCTAAGGGAGGCCGTGATTTAAACGGGCCCCAGTGGACCATCATCTCCTTTATCATATCGCCCTCCTCCTACCTCCTGTGTTCCTCTCACAGGCGGGGTGGTGGCGCCTTCTCACCAAGCTGTCCCTGAACACCGGATGTGGTGGGAGGGTGTGTTCAGAGTGGCTGCTGCAAGTCATACAGCAGCGGCTCTACCCTAGGAGACTGACTGGCACTTTTTAAGGCCTAAAATAACAAAACGCAGGTATCATCTGCAGAGGAGCCCCGACATCCTCTACAGGCCTCCTGCAGCCCCGACACAATACATGCCCTGCAGTCCAACGCACACCCTTTCCAAACAGCCCCCACTAGCAGGTCACGGCTCCTCCAACATCTTCAGTCAGAGACCCGCCATGTTGCCCCACCCCCTCCTCTCCAGCCTCGAAAACTGATGAAAGGCCTATTGGGCACGTGTGCCACCACGCCCCTCAGTCACCCTCACGGTGGCATCCTCGAGGGCACCCCCAGATCGGCCTTGACAGTGAGCACACGGGGTTGGGGGTGGGGCTGGGGGAAATCTTTCCCTCTGCATGGTGACGGCGGCTAGAAGGTGCCACTCACCCTGCGCGGTTCCCTGCGGTGCCGGGCGCGTGCAGCTCAGCGAAAGGCCAGCAGGAATATCAGCACGGCGTTGATGAGGACCAGCAGCGCCAGCACAGCCGAGACCACCACGCGTTGGGCGCCCGGGGGCAGGTTGCAGCGCAGCAGGGCGCGGAGGGCGCCGCCAGGCGTCGCAGGGCCACGCCGGGGCTGCGGGGGCTTGGCCATCACGCCCGGCCTACCTCCGGGCTCCTAGCGCCGGGAGATCCCAGCTCAGGGATGGAGCCGGAGGCGTCGGAAAGGAGGCGGAGCTGCCTGCGCTCACCCGCCAGGCTCCTCCCTCACAGCTAGCTCTCTGAGTGAGCATCCAGGGCTTCAGTGGGTGCAGGGCGAAAAGAGTTGCGGGGGGGGGGGGGGGGGGTGGTAGGGAGGGGACCTGTTAAAATCGCATGACGGGGTTGCTGTGGCTCTGAAGAGCAAGTGCGTTGTGATCTGCCCTGGGCACTTACTTCCCTGGGAGAGTTAGAAGACTCTAATATCCACACAATGTTAGGTGCACAGATAGCCATGCAAGTCCTGGGGGTTCCTGGGGACCTAGCTGACCCAGGCATTCCCTAGTGAGCTGAAATCTTTGGTTGTTGTGTGTGTGTGGGGGGGGGGGGTAGGGTTAGGAGTTTTGTCATATAGTCCAGACTAGCTTTTAATTCATATATTTTACATAGATGACCTTGAAATTTTGATTTGCCTACTCCACCCTCCTCAGAGGTAGGATTCCAGGTATGAACCATCATGCTTGGTTTATGTGGTTCCGGGATCAAAAGCAGGGCTTCCTGCTTGCTAAGCAAGTACTCCACACTCTGAGGCAAATCCCCAGAGGACCAAGGGATCTTAATTGTAATAAGACTCCTTGGGAAATCGCTTCACAAATAAGTAAAGTGTGCCTCTGTAACATTAGATAATTGTCACACAAACGCCCAGCAAAACAGGGTAGCCGGGGGAGAATCTGAACCTGGGCCTGACTGATCAGCCTCAACCACCAGAACAGGGTTCTGAGCCTTCGGACACACAACTGTCTTCTTCACTGGCAGCACCAAACAGAACCCGCAACCTCAACAGGGCAGAGGTCTCGGTCTTACCAGTGTGGTCCTCTGAAACCGACTGTCGTTTAGGTGGGGGAGGCACAGCAGAGGAAGCACGGTGTTCATGTGTAGGTGACTGTCCCCTGATCCCTGTCATCACCCTGCTGAAGAGCTCAGGTGTGTACATGTATGGTCCCGTGTACAATGTGCATACATGTGTATCTGTGAGGAGGGACACTTCTGTGGGTGTGTGTGGGGGGTCATCTGTGCATGTACTGGTGTGTATGTGTGGGTGCCTCTGTGGATCTGAAGGGGCAGCTTACCTTCTGCACTACAGGCTCAGCCTAGACCATCGATCTGGGGTACTGCGTCTACTCAGTTCTGCAGAAAATCTTGGGTACCAGGTCCCCCCCCCCCCCCCCATTCCTCAAAGGGTTTTGGGAACATGGTGGTTTGAAAAAGATGTCTCCCATTGTCTTGGGGCATGTGAATACTCGATCTCCATTTGACAGCACTGTTCTGGGAAGCTGAGGAGGTGTGGCCTTGTTGGAGGAATTATGTCACTAGAGGTGGCTTTCTCTATGCTTCCCGCTTACAGTCCTAGACTGTGAGCTCTCAGCAGTCCTTACTGCATGTCTGCCACCTGCTGCCGCAATTCTCTCTTAGCCCCTGGAACTGTACGTTCAAGCAAACTCTTTCTTCTAGAAGTTGCCTTGGTCTTGGTGTTTCATTGCAGCAGCAGAAGACCAATGCAGGTAGACATTAGAAGACATCCGAGGGCCACTGCCATTCCATTTCTAACTTTCCTCTAAGGCTGGGGACCTGCCATCTACTGGAGTGACGCTGGGACTTGTAGTTCCATAGAGAGAAGGTAGTCTCTGCATCCCAGGTACCTTAGCATAGCAGGGTCTACGGCACTGAAATCAAACATTCCGTCTTTGAACTAAGTCCTTTAAGACTCAGAAGGTAAACAAAATTTAGAAAACTCAGTAGGTACACAACTCATAGTTCCCCCAAAAAAGTTCCTAAAACATACAAGATTCACAAGACCCCTCCCGAGGGTTACATAAAGAATGAATTGCCAAGAAGAGGAGACTCTGACCGGCTGAGCTGCCCACAAGTCCTGCAGAGAGCTCCAGGGATGTAGCTGTCTTGAGAATCATCAGGCATGCTGGGCCTTCCAGTGATACACCTGTTTTTAATTCAGTTATGCTCGTATGCATAACCCAGTAAACTCATTCATTTACTAA